CCCAGGATCCAACTCACAAAGTATACGGCTCCAAAGCTGCCATGGCCAATTTCCCGGAGGTCAGAGAAGAGCTTTTCTGGGTCATCTTTGAAGAAGAGCTCAGCCACATCTGGGTCCTTCAGGCTCCCGGCCCGGCCCCCAGCTGGCATGGTGGCCCCTGGGGGCCCTGAGAGTGAGGCCTGGCCTGGGGAATGGAAATGGGACCCTTAGAGCAAGGACTGAGCCTTCAGGGAGAGGAAGGGACCCATCAAGTTTCTGCCATCTCCTCCCCTCATTCCCTGATGAGGGGGAGGCACTGCTGAGGAAGGGGAGGGGGAGATTAGGAACGACATCAAAGCTCCAAAAAATGAAGTTGCCCTGGCAACCAGATCACGCGGGCTGGGTCCCTGGAGTCCCTAAAACTGCTAGGAAGATTCTGGGAAGCTAAGCATCCTCACCACCCCCTTCAGCACTCAACAAGTTCTCATTTCCCTATAGCCCCTGTATCTGCCCTCAAGGATAAAACATTCTGCCTCCCAGGCAGCACTCCAGAGCCCCAAGTGTCCTGTCCCATAAGTCCCATACCCCAACTGTTTCCAGGCACCTTTCTGTTCCCCTTGGCGCTGAGGCCCCCTCCTCCCTCAACCTCTCACACCCTAGAAGAGAACAGGAAATGGCCAGGCCGGAGGCGGTGGAAATCCGTCCATTGTTAGAAGTGGGTATGGGCCCAGAGGGGCCCGCAGAGTCACTCTCAAAAAGGGCAGGGGGAGATCTAGAATGGGAAGAATAGGGATATAAATGGCATCTGGCTGTGAGGGCCTCTCTGTGGTCTGGGCCACCTTACTTGTCCTGTCCAATTGCATAAGCATCACACACAGGTACAGGACATTTGCAGGGTACAAATAACATTTATTGAGCACCTTACATGCATTATCTCTTATTCAGTCCTCACCACAACCTTACGAAGCAAGTATTATGATTTCCCTTATATTACAAATAAAGAAACAGGCACAGCAAGGTTAAGTGCCTTGTCCAAAGCTGGTCTTCCATCATTATGATTTCAGAGCCCTTCAAAATAGACAGGGCAGAATCATGATCACCATTTCCTAGGTGAGATCACTGAGGCACAGAGAATAAAAAGGACTTCTCCAAGGTCAGAAAACAGAACCTTCTGCTCCCTGGTTAGGCCTGCCCATTACTCTCTCAGTTGTCACTCCAAGTTCAGCTCCCCTCTTGCAGGAAGCCTGTCCTGACCACTCCAGCCATTGGGAAGAGTGCCTAGGGCACCCAGCCAAACACCCAGAGAAAGTTCCTGCAGGATACCAGAACCAAAACCCTCAAGGAGATTCCAAACAGGCTCCATCCAGCCTAAGCATTTGTCAGAATTTGGGCACAAAGGGGCCTTCAGCAGAGCTGGACTCCTGGGGCAGAGTTCTAGCTACTTAAAAGCACCTAACAATTTTAGCATGTAATTTATTCTGTCATGCATTGTTTCCTGTTGTGTTGTTAATTTTGTCTCCTCAGTCCAACTGGAAGCTGGAGGGCAAGGAGGGAGCCTGACTCTCCAGTGGGCCCCCAGGGTGCAGAGGGCTCAGAATAGCCTGGGAGACTGATTGATTGCTCTCTGCTCAGCCCTCAGCAGCTCCCAGGTTGCTCAAAGTAAGGCCCTTTCTCTCTTCTGCCAGCAATAGTGCCAAGCACCCCTCACCAGCACCACACACCCACACACAAAGGCAGGTGCTCTCAACTTGCCAAAGGAATCTTCCTGACCTCTTTACCAATACAGGGCCCCAGAATGCTAACCTAGGACCCAAGGCCACATGGAAGGGGTGCCACCCACTGGCAAAACATCATGCAGGTCCCCTTCCCCATAACAACAACAAACACTTGAACAATAACAAAAGTCAGTGCTAAATCATAACCACCTTCCAAAATGGACAACGTTATCTCCATTCTACAGATGAGGAAACCCATATCTATCTGTTCCTAAGCTATGCTACCAGTACATCCCATCTGCAATGTACAGCAACAGGGCTTTGAATAAGTTCCTTCTAGTTCTTGGTCTTCTCTTCAGTGAAATGGATTACAGCATGGAGCTGTTGTAAGATTTTAATGAGATCTCATACTTAGGAACACCACGCAGACACTCAGCATATGGATTTTTCCTTTCCTGCCTCCAAGGTCCCCACAAAGCTTTAATCCTTCGGGGGATCAGTCTACCCCAACAGCTTGGCTTGAACAGTTAAAAGATGCCAGTAGTGCTACCATTTGTCAAGAGCCAGCCCTCTCAGGAATCCAGGCCAAACCCTGGGATCAGGGTAAAGATGAAGGTCACAGTGGATGAAAACTCCATGAGGCAGTGGCAAAAACCAGTCTCCCATCAGGAAAAGCTTCTGAGTAGAGCCCTCCTGGAAAGGAAGCTCATCTCACCCCCATTCTTAAACCTCATCCCAGCCTGGTCTCCTGGGGACCCCTGGCCGAGCCCAAACACAGAGGAAAAGAGATGGCAAGAAACAGGCATGCATCAGGGAAAGATGTGATTGAGGACTTGAGTTCAAATTCCGGTTTTGCCACTGTGTGACCTTGGGCAACCTCTCTGGGCCTCAACGTTCTCAACTGTAAAATGGGAAGATGCCAATAAAAGAGGCCACCACACGGTGAATGCGGGGATGTCACATGACAGAATGGCTGTCAAAGCACTTTGTAAAAGACAGATCGTTTGACAAATAGATGAGATTATTGATACCATCAGAGCAAGAGATTGGAAGGGAACTGTAGCTGGGGGAAAACATTGCCAGGCACCTCCAAGCACACACACAAGCATACACACAAACCCATATACACACACTTCCTTGCAAGGACAAGAAATCCAACAAGACCAGGCCTGAAAAGCAGATAAGCAGACCCACCAGGGGAATCAGAGGCATGGGATTCAACACCGCAGAATAGGCAGGAGAAAGGGGCATATCAGGGAGAAGAGGAGGCTGTGAGGGGCAAAGTGAAGGCGAGAAGACTGAAGTGTAAATCCATCTGATTAGCTGAAGCGCCCTAGGGTGTGAACCCCGGTGACATCAGAGACCCTGTCACCTGAGGTCCCCCACCAACCAGACACAATGAAGGGAAGAGGAAGGGGAAGGGGGTGGCAACAGAAGGCAAGGCTAGCCAGAGGCTGACCACTGGCTGAGCTGGGCTTCCCCATCCTGAGGAGAGGGCCTACCCAAGTCCAGCTTCTCAGAAAGGCGCACCCTTTCTTCTCAGAGCTAGACACAGGGACCCGCGCCCCTGCACCCCGTGTCTCACCTGGTAGGGGTCACTATGGTGCCCCAGCGCCTCCGCTTCCGCCTGGGGTCCTCCAGCGGCTCTGCCAAGTAGGGAGAGGGGCAAGGAGACCTTTCCCCTTGCCACCTCTTCCTCGGCTTTCGCCCTTCCTGAGGGGCGGGCCCGGGAAGCCTCCCCTGGAGGGGAGGGGGTGACAACCTAATCTGACCTCGCGGTCCAGTCCTCCCCCTCCTCGAGGGCGACAGCTGCCGAATTCCGGATTTCTGATTGCGGGGTCTGAACCCCGAATATTTGAACAGGATGGAGACTGAATCCGATATTTGAACGCCTGGGGAATGAACCCCGGATACTGGTGCACGCAGGGGCCTGAACCCGATATTTGAAATTCTATGAAACAGAGACCCAGGTTTAGAGAGGTTGGGACCCGAGTCCCGGATATCTGGACTATGAGAACTGATACCCGGGTATCTGAGAAGCGAGGGGCAAAGCCCGGAAATCTGGGACCCAGGAACCTGAGCCCTAGGTCTTCGGCCACCGACTGGGGGCCCACCCCGAGGACGTCCGGCCGCACGGCCCCTCTCACGCCGGGGTCCGAGGGTGACAGCCCCCACTCCCGCCCCGGCCTCCTCTCTCTCCCTTCTCTCTTCCGAGAATAGCTGAAAGATTATAGCTAAGGCGCTGCTGACGGTCCCCGCGCCCTCTCTGCCTCTCCTCTTCTCCGTCTCAGCCTCTCTCCGCACCACAGCCCAGGTCTCGTCCCGGTCTCCCTCTCCCTCTTCCTCCCAATTCCAAGATGGAGACCGGGCGGGAGCGCGCAGGCGCGGTAGGGACGCCGGGCCAAAGGGGGCGGGGCAGCGAAGGACTCAGCCCCGCCCTCTCCTCTCACTGCCGCGGCCTGGGAGACCAGCAGCCGCCGAGCCCGAGTGCGCGCGCGCCCCGCCACGCGGACCCCCGGCCGGAGGAGGCGGGGAGAAGGGCTAGGCTTGCAAGGGGAGGAGCCCGGCACTCTGTCCCACGACTGGCGGTGGACAGAGCTGCAGCGCATGCGTTCGCCCCGCCTTTGCTCTCAGCCCGAGGTTGTTGCTAGGGGAAGCTTTGAGGGGGCGCGGGTGGACGGACAGCAGCGGCGATCGGCGATCTGCGCCTGCGCGCAGGGTGGAAGTTGGGAGGGGCAAGGGAAGCTGCTGCTGGGCGCGGAAAAAGCGGGAAAATAGACTGCTCCGAGGTTAGCAACCATCTAGCCTGGACGAGGGCCCCCAAGTGCGAGGAATCTTTGCGCGTTGACGCTGGGAAAACTCAATAGGTCAAATCTCTTACGGAAATGGAGGCGCTGCAGGTTGCAAGACTTGCCAAGGTCACAGTGCATTTATGTCACAGCATTTCCATGACCTGACACCCCACCCGCCCAACTAACTGTAATTATATCCATTTTATTTCGTAGAAGAAAACAAGACAGGTGTTTACCAAAGCCAAGTTAACCATGGGGAGAGCTCAAGTAACCTATGCCCTATGGCAACCTGTGTCCAAACTAAAGACTCAACAGAAAAGAGTCCCCCAAAACTTGTAAGCCTACCTACCCTAAAATCCCCACCTCAATCCAAACCCCAATAAACACCATACACGCCACTGGGCAAAAAGTTTTTTATTTTCCCCCACATTCCAGCTCTTCGCTTTTTCTAAAACCTTTTCCAACTCAGAGCCAAGGCCCAAGAAGTTGATTCACACCTGAGGAGAAAGAAGAAAACAACAAAACAGGTCGGAGAGCTGCTAGAGGAAGCTCTGAGATGTGTGCAGAAATGGAGGAACGAGCAGAGGGAGTGACAGCTAGAGACCAATACAGGCATTTGATCCCAACTAAGGTAGCCTCAGGACTCCAGGATGTGCCAGGGGCAGGAAGCCCTCCTTTCCCAGTCCAAGGTTGAGAGGGTCCTGTCATTTCCTGTCCCAAGTAGGTGGCTGGGGCATTTAGGTCCAGCCATCAGCAAAATAAGCAGAGTTGATCTTGAGCTTCCAGTTCCTCTGGCCTGATCAGTTTCCTGAGCCTGAACTATTTCCACTTTTCCCATAGTAACTTCCCAGGGCACCACAGCCAGCTGAAGCTGAGACCAGTTCAAGAGCTGGATGCATAAAAACATGGCTCTCAGATTACATGCACCCTCCCTCTGACAAGTGAAGATGTTTTGCAGAAATATTTTTTCCCTTAGTGGGCTGACATGTGAACCTAATGACCCCCACCCATTGCTATGTTTGTGAAGCTGATTCCCTCCAAAGATCTTGTTAACAGAATCAGCTTTTTCTAAAGGTAATGATGACTAAATGGAAGAGAGAAGGTGCATGTCAAGTTCTTGGGAACATACTACGTCCCCAGTAAACGGGTATCATCAATGAGACTCTTCTGAGCAGTTCAAGTTGAATTTTACAACATTTTCATCATAAAACTGGGTATCGGAATTTCAGGACAAAAGCAAGACAAATATGGTTCATATCCAGGACGAATCATCAAATGCGAACCCTCTTAACTCACCATTGTTACCCAAATGCTTGGATGCGAACTAGTTATGGGTGAGTCTTAAAATCACAATGTTGCTTGAAAGAAGTCAGCCACAAAAGAATGTGTATGATTCTGTCTACATAGGTTCAAAAATAAGTAAAACCAAACTATATTATTTAGGAATACATACTTGGCAATAAATTATAAAGCAGGACAGTAGTTATTTCTAGGGAGAGGGAGGGCATAGTCAGGAAGGAAGGGACTATGGGGGTTTGTGGACTGCTGGTAATATTCTATTCCTTTCCTCAGTGGTATTTATAAGTATCCACTTTATAATAATTTGCCAAGCTGTCCTTTTATGGTATTGGACTTTTCTACATAAGTGTTAAATATTTTATAGTAAAAAAGTTAAAGTAATTAGAAAAATATTGAATGCTCACGGTATCAAATTGTTCCCAGTCCCTAAGGGAAAGCTGTGGTTGAAGAGGTTCTCGGGGACTCAGAAGCAGCAGTCTTTGAGGAAAAGTCCAAGGATCTGCTCTACCCCAGTTACAACCTCCACCCCCACCCCATTCCCTGCTCCCGCAGGACTGGAGCAAAGAACCTCACCTGAGAAACAAGTCGGGAACTAGGCCAGTGCCCTCAGAGCCGGGTTCTAGACCAGTGGGACTCCCGGCGCGGGTGGAAGCACATAGCAGTGACACAGCAGAGAAGGCCACAGAAGAGAAGCAGGAAGGAGCCCAAGACCAGCAGCCTGGAGCCACACAGAGCCAGCTCCTCCTACGGAGGGGTACAGGGAGGGGAGGAGGAGATCTTAATCCAGCCCAAGGGCTATAGAGGGAGCCTCCATGAGGGAGAGGGCTCTCTACATCTAGGGAGCAACTAAAGGGAAAATGTTATTTTCATATAAGTTGACATTTATTTATTTAAACAGGGTCTCACTCTGTCACCCAGGCTAGAGTACAGTGGTGCGATCTTGGCTCACTGCAACCTCCACCTCCTGGGCTCCAGTGATCTTCCCACCTCAGCCTCCTGAGTAGCCGGGACCACAGGTATGTGCCACCATGTCCAGCTAATTTTTTTTGTATTTTTTGTAGAGATAGGGTTTCGCCATGTTGCCCAGGCTCGAACATTTGTCTTGATGGTTTGAAAACTACTTTCTTGCCCAGCTATCAACCTGAACCCCCATCATGACTCCAAGAGATAGGAAACTTCATTATGATCCACGTTTTAAAGATGTGTAAGCGGCCGGGCGTGGTGACTCACACCTGTAATCCCAGCATTTTGGAAGGCTGAGGAGGGTGGATCATGAGGTCAGGAGATCGAGACCATCCTGGCTAACATGGTGAAACCCCGTCTCTACTAAAAATACAAAAAATTAGCTGGGTGTGGTGGTGGGCGCCTGTAGTTCCAGCTACTTGGAATGAGGAGGTAGGAGAATGGCATGAACCTGGGAGGCAGAGCTTGCGGTGAGCCAAGATTGCACCACTGCACTTCAGCCTGGGTGACAGAGTGAGACTCCATCTCAAAAAAAAAAAAAAAAGTGCAAGCAGTGCTAGATCTAGAAACCAGATCTCTGATTCCAAGTCCCAGGTTACGTTCCTCATGGGGTTTTTTCTTTTTTTTTTTTTTTTTTGAGACGGATCTTCAAGGATCATCCTGACCTGACGGAAGGTGTGGGTTGCAATCCTGGCTCTGCCACTTAACCAGTTGTGTGGCCTTCGGCAATTCACTCCCTCTCTCTAAACCTGTTTCCTCATCTGCAAAATGGGATAATAACACCTACCTCAAAAGGCTATTTTAAGATCAAATGAATTAATGAACCCTAAGAGCACTTTGTGCATTATAAACTGCTGTACACAATGCTCTTTGGTAAATGCCACCTTCTGTGTGAAGCACTCTCCACAAATGTTCAAGTTAGGGTTAATGGCTCCTTACTCTGTGTTTGCATAACACTTTGCTCACATCTTTCTAATAGCAATTAGCCCATTTGCCTCTTATTACAGCTTCTGAACTCCTTTGAGGTAGAGAGAATGTTTTAAAGACAACAGTAAACAATAATAGCTGTCACTTATCAAATCTCTATGTCCTAGGCACTGTGCTGGGCACTTCACAGTCATTCTCATTTAATCCTTATTTGGTGGAATTAAGAGATAGGGTCATGTTTTCTGTTTTACAGATGAGGAAGCTGACACTCAGAGATGTTTAGACACTTGTTCTAAGTCACACAGCCCCCAAGGCAGGGTTATAAAACCTGTGCTTTTTCTACAACGTAGAATTGTTTCCAGGGGCCTTCAAGATACAGCAGTCAGCAGGCAGTCCACAAAACCCTGGCGACCCATCCGAGGCTCTTACCGAGGTCAGCAGCTTGGTCAGCACAAGGCCTTCATGGCTCCAGACACTAACGCACTCCTCACCCATTCTAGGGCTCAGGGTGGCATTTCCAGCCCCCTCCTCTGAGCAGGATATGGGTGGCTGACTGGAGGGTAGGATTCCTGGAACGGCACTAAAATACAGGCAGGTTCCTGCAGTCCTTTCTGTGGTCACCCTGGCTGTGATAAGGACCAGCTGTCCTGCAGAAGATCCTGTGAAAGGCACAAAAGATGGAAGAAAATGAGGGGTGACGCGGGAGCCTCTGTCTTCACACTTCTATTCTTTTCTTTCTTTCTTTATTTTTCTGAGATGGGGTCTCACTTTGTCGTGCAGGTTGGAGTGCAGTGGCACGATCCCAGCTCACTGGAGCCTCAACCTCCTGGGCTCAAGTGATCCTCCCACCTCAGTCTCCCGAGTAGGTGGGACTACAAGCATGCACCACCCGCCTGGCTAATTTTAAAATTTTTTTGTAGAGACAGGGTATCACTGTATTGCCCGGGCTAGACTCAAACTCCTGGGCTTGAGTCCTCCTGCTATCTTGACCTCCTAAAATGTTGGGATTCCAGGCATGAACCACCATGCCTGGTCCTATTTATTTTTTAAGGCTTTCTTTAATACCAGGTATTTTGGCATTGATTCTCTTCAATAAACTATTCCACATACCATTATTTATATCACTGAGAAATGAAAATAACTTTGTATCAATATAAACACAAATTAAGTTGTAATTTAAATTAATTTAAATTATAATCAATACAACAACCATACCAATACTCGCAAGGCTGCAGTGAAATGGGCAGATACACATTGCCCATGTCAGTTTGCATAAACTAGCTCATCCTTTTTAAGAAAGCAGTTTCTCACTTGGTACCAAAATCCATTGAAAGGTTCTCACCCTATTTTAAATTAGTGGGGAAAGGATGGCCTCAGTAAACGGCCTTGGGAAAATTTCCATGTAGAAAAAAACATAGCGTCAAACTGTTATCCTATAACATAAAACAAAGTCCAGATGTATTAAAGAACTATACAAACTAAAAAAAAACGTAAGTATTAAAAGAAAATACAGTATATTTTATTTTATTATTATTATTATTTTTTTTGAGATGGAGTCTTGCTCTGTCCCTCAGGCTGGAGTGCAGTGGCACGATCTCGGCTCACTGCAAGCTCCGCCTCCCGGGTTCACGCCATTCTCCTGCCTCAGCCTCCCAAGTAGCTGGGACTACAGGCGCCCGCCACCACACCCGGCTAATTTTTTGTATTTTTTAGTAGGGACAGGGTTTCACCATGTTAGCCAGGATAGTCTCGATCTCCTGACCTCATGATCCGCCCGCTTCGGCCTCCCAAAGTGCTGGGATTACAGGCATGAGCCACCGCGCCCAGCCATTTTATTTTATTATTTTTGACACAGAGTTTCACTCTTGTTTTTGCCCAGGCTGGAGCGCAGTGGCACGATCTTGGCTCACTGCAACCTCCACCTCCTAGGTTTAAGTGATTCTCCTGCCTCAGCCTTGAGAGTAGCTGGGATTACAGGCACCCACCACCATGCCCAGCTAATTTTTTGTATTTTTAGTAGAGATGGGGTTTCATCATGTTGGCCAGGCCGGTCTAGAACTCCTGACCTCAAGTGATCCACCTGCCTCAGCCTCCCAAAGGCTGGGATTACAGCAATCAGCCACCATGCCTGGCCAGAATATTTTCTAATTTTAAAATGAGGAAGGCCTTCCTATGAAAGACACAGAACCTAAAAGTCTTAATAAAGGACAAGAGTGACAAACCCCTCTCATAAAAATTAAAGACTTCTATGCAATGAAAGATAAGTTAAAAAAACAAGTAACATATTGATTGAAAATACCTATATTTAAATGACAAAAAGGATTACTATCCAGAATAAAGACCTTCCACAAATCAAGAAGACAAAGACAAATAACTTAAAAGAAAAATGAACAAAGCAAACAAACAGGTAATTCACAGACAACATGAAAACAGACAATAAACCATAAGAGGTTCAACCTTACTAGCAATCAGGAGAAAGTAAATTAAAACAATTGGGTAATAGGCCAGGCCTGGTAGTTCATGCCTGTAATCCCAGCACTTTGGGAGGTGAGGCAGGAGGATCACTTGAGCCCAGTAGTTTGAAACTAGCCTGGGCAACATAGTGAGACCCCATCTCTACAAAAAATAAAAAAGTTGGCCAGGCGCAGTGGCTCACGCCTGTAATCCCAGCACTTCAGGAGGCCGAGGCAGGCGGATCACAAGGTCAGGAGTTCAAGACCAGCCTGGCCAACATGGTGGAACGCCATCTCTACAAAAAAATACAAAAATTAGCTGGGCATGGTGCCACGTGCCTGTAATCCCAGCTACTTGGGAGGCTGAGGCAGGAGAATCTCTTGAAACTAGGAGGCAGAGGTTGCAGTGAGCTGAGATCGCACCACTACCCTCCAGTCTGGGTGATAGAGCGAGACTCCATCTCGGGGAAAAAAAAAAAAATTAGCTGGGCATGATGGCGAGCACCTGTAATCCCAGCTACTCAGGAGGCTGAGGTGGGAGAATGCTTACTGCAAGTCCTGCCTCCCAGGGATAAACAATCCTCCCACCTTAGCCTTCTGAGTAGCTGGGACCACAGGTGTATGCCACTATGCCTGGCTTTTTTTTTTTTTTTTTTTGTATTTTTAGTAGAGACAGAGTCTTGCCATGTTGTCCAGGCTGGTCTCAAACTCCTGCGCTCTAGCAATCTGCCTGCCTTGGCCTCCCAAAATGCTGGGATTACAGGCGTGAGCCACCACATCCGGCCCTAACTGTACACTTCCAATGGGTGAATTGTATTGTGTATGAATCATATCTCAATAAAACTATTATATATCTATTTAAAAGTAAAAAGAATGAGAAAGAATTGTCCCAAGTCTGCATATATCAGACACATTCCTTATTTTTGTTAACGTACATGTACACCTGGACAGGCAGAGACCCACTCCCCTGATACATACATACTCATAGGAGAATCTTAGAATGATAGTATTGTAAAGGACCTCAGAAGTCAAAAAATACCACCCTCTTCCATCCCTCTTTATCTCAGCATATTTTAGATAAGGCAAATGTCATACAGGGATTAATGGCATCCACTGACATTTTCACTTTCTGTCTCTCTCGCTTGTCATTTTCCCAGAACACTATAGCTCTTTGGAAATTTATGTTGTCTAATTTTTTCTGCATCCTTTGTGGCATACAGAACTATGCTAAGCACATAGCGGGCCCTTATGACACTGGTTTAATTGAATATGGTTCTCTGATATCCCTGAGGAAAAAGGGGTCTCTAAGAGGAGGTAGCTAAAGGATGAGAAAACAGTAGGTCAAATCTAGCCCATTTCATCCTACCTCCAAAGATAGACTCAAAGAACGTCAGAACTGGCAGAGGAAGAAAGCATTCATAGAAAACGTACCCTGTTGGCAGCATGTTTACTGAAAGCCCGAATCACAGAAGTGACTAAAGTCCAGGGATGTGTCCAAGGTCATCATTGGTGAGGTCAGAGGTAGGGTCCAGCCCTGAGTGTTCTGATGCCCGACCCCACAGTCCTCTGTGATCTCACCTTACTTTTTTTTTTTTTTTTTTGGTGGGACAGAGTCTGTCTCTGTCACACAGGCTAGAGTGCAGTGGTGTGATCTCTGCTTATTGCAACCTCAGCCTTCCGGGTTCAAGAGATTCTCCTGCCTTAGCCTCCCAAGTAGCTGGGACTACAGGCGCCTGCCACCACACCTGGCTAATTTTTGTATTTTTGTTTGTTTGTTTGAGACGGAGTCTCACTCTGTCTCCCAGGCTGCAGTGCAGTGGCACGATCTTGGTTCACTGCAACCTCCACCTCCCGGGTTCAAGCAATTCTTCTGGCTCAGCCTCCCGAGTAGCTGGGACTACAGGCGCACACCACCAAGCCTGGCTAATTTTTTTTTTGAGACTGAGTCTTGCTCTGTCGCCCAGGCTGGAGTGCAATGGTACGATCTCGGCTCACTGCAACCTCCGCCTCCCGGGTTCAAATGATTCTCCTGCCTCAGCCTCCTGAGTAGCTGGGATTACAGGCGTGTGCCACCATGTCCGGCTAATTTTTGCATTTTTAATAGACATGGGGTTTCACCATGTTGGTCAGGCTGGACTCGAACTCCTGACCTCGTGATCTGCCCGCCTCGGCCTCCCAAAGTGCTGGGATTACCGGTGTGAACCACTGTGACCAGCCTACCCAGTTAATTTTTGTATTTCTAGTAGAAATGGGGTTTCATGGCAGGGTGCAGTGGCTCAAGCCTGTAATTCCAGCACTTTGGGAGGCCGAGACAGGCGGATCATGAGGTCAGGAGATCGAGACCAACCTGGCTAACATGGTGAAACCCCATCTCTACTAAAAAATACAAAAAACTAGCTGGGCGTGGTGGCGGGCGCCTGTAGTCCCAGCTACTTGGGAGGCTGAGGCAGGAGAATGGCGTAAACCCGGGAGGCAGAGCTTGCAGTGAGCTGAGATCCAGCCACTGCACTCCAGCCTGGGCGACAGAGCGATACTCTATCTTGAAAAAAAAAAAAAGAAATAGGGTTTCACCATGTTGGCCAGGTTGGTCTCAAACTCCTAACCTCATGATCCGCCCTCCTCGGACTCCCAAAGTGCTGGGATTATAGGCATGAGCCACCGTGCCTGTACTATTCTTAATTTTTTTTTTGAGACAGAGTCTTGCTCTGTCACCCAGGCTGGAGTGCGGCAGAGCTTGCAGTGAGCTGAGATCCAGCCACTGCACTCCAGCCTGGGCGATAAGAGCGATACTCTATCTTGAAAAAAAAAAAAAGAAATAGGGTTTCACCATGTTGGCCAGGTTGGTCTCAAACTCCCACCTCATGATCCGCCCTCCTCGGACTCCCAAAGTGCTGGGATTATAGGCATGAGCCACCGTGCCTGTACTATTCTTTAATTTTTTTGAGACAGAGTCCTGCTCTGTCACCCAGGCTGGAGTGCAATGGTGCAATCTCGGTCTACTGTAACTTCAGCCTCCCAGTTCAAGCGATTCTCCTGCCTCAGCCTCCCAAGTAGTTGGGATTAGATGCTTTTCCTGCCACCATGTCTGGCTAATTTTTGTATTTTTAGTAGAGACGGGGTTTCACCATATTGGCCAGGCTGGTCTTGAACTCCTCGTCCTTGTGGATCCGCCTCCCTGATCACTAAAGTGCTGGGATTATAGGCATGAGCCACCATGCCTGCACTATTTTAATTTTTTTTTTTTTGGAGATGGTGAGTCTTGCTCTGTCACCCAGGCTGAGTGCAATGGTAATTCCCGGTTCACTGCAACCTCAGCCTCCTGGGTTCAAGCGATTCTCCTGCCTCAGCCTCCCAAGTAGTTGGGATTAGATGCATCTGCCACCATGTCTGACTAATTTTTGTATTTTTAGTACAGACGGGGTTTCACCATGTTGGCCACGCTGGTCTCGAACTCCTGACCTCAAATGATCCACCTACCTCAGCCTCCCAAAGTGTTGGGATTACAGGTGTGAGCCACCAAGCCCAGCCTCTGATCTCACCTTTCAATCCCATCTGACTACCCAGGACCGTGGCCTGGAATATCCGGGTCTTGTTCCTGTCTGGACTGTCTCCGAAGTTCAAGGTGGTCAGTAAGCCCACGACGTGAGACCCTCGCCACTTCCCTGTGACTGTCCCATTCCTGGGACACAAGGTCAGCTGGCCAAAAGATCTCAAAAAAGAGACCCAGTCCTGTGAGCAAAAGAAGGGTGGGAGATGGGTGAGATGAGATTAGCAGCAAAAGCCTGTCTAGGTTGGAAGGAAGAGCAGGTATGGGGGTGGGAAACTTACCTGGGGGATGTCAGGGCTGCGCAGGCCAGTCCTGTGGGTGAGGAGGAAGCTGCCAAGGCCCAGGCCGGAGAGGCCAAGGAGCAGCAGGATCAAAGTGGCACAGACCAGAGGTGGGTGGTGGGCCAGACACAGGTGCAGGTTGTGCCCTGCCTGGCAGTTGCCCATGGGGAGCAGAGGGGGCTGAGCCTCCGGGGAGAGCCTGCTGGAGGACAGGGAGGGAGAATGGGACAAGAGCACCTCTTTCACGCAAAGAGAAAAGAAAGCTCAGAGAAGACAAGGGACTTTCCAAGGCCACACAGTAAGTGGCAGAGCCAGAACAAGAATCCAAGGTTCCCGACTCCAAAAGTTCATCTCCCTGCACTGCTGGATAAATATTTGCTGCATTTAATTTCTGAAGTAATCTAAGTGGAGGCAGAGCAGGGCACTCCGTGGTGGAAGAAGGAACCCAAAAGGGAGATTTCTCAGCTGGAGAAACAGGAAGCACTGTTCTGGGGCGAGGGTTTGGCTGAGGAATAGTTCCAGCCAGAGCCCAGACAAGGGAAGATTCTGGAGAAGAACTCCACTGTGCAGCTAAACGGCTAGATCTGAATCCCTTTCTGTTACTCACTGACTCTGTGAGCTTAAGAATCCATGAAATAGGAGTTCTAAGAACACCAAGTAATAAGGATTAAACGTGGTGGATGAAGCAATCTGCGTGGTATTTGGCCATGCAGAATTCAACAGATGTCCATTTCCTTTCTCTTTCTCGTACAGATTCTCAAAACCGGGTAAGGCGAGGCAAAAAATACTGTGGGGGAAACTGAGGCTCGCGGACTTTAACATAGGAGGGGTAGGGCCAAGGTCTGAACCCTGTCTCCTGCTTCCAAGTGTGGTGCTCCTTCCCACGCAAGATGCGACAGCCTGATGGAAAAGAACTTCTGGAAGGCGAAGAGATAAACAGCGGTGGGGGGAGAAGGAGGGAGACACGGAAATGCAGGTGTCACAAATGCTCAGCCCTGCCCCGCCTCCCGTCCGGCTGGAAGGGGGTTAAAGGGAGGGGAGGGTAGAGCCTGGGGGTCCGCGGCCGCTGGTGCACCTGAGCACCCCCTCCCCGGAAAGCCCCCGCCCCGAACGATTGCAACACCCTCGTCCCCTCCCGGTCTCGCGCGTCCGATCCGCCAGCCGCTCGCTCTTACCACTCCGGGCCCGGCGGAGGCCGGCACCCCCTGCGACGTCACGCGCGGGGCCGCGAAGGGGCGGGGTCCGTGCTCCGCGCTTCCTTCCCCGACCCTCCTCCCCGCGCGGCCCCGCCCCAAGGACGGGTCCGCATGCGCAGTGGCCACGCGGGCGCCAGCCACGCAGCTCCCCGCCAGGGTGGGGGCGTACCAAAGGGACACCCGAGGAAGGGGCCACCGGGAAGGAAAACCTCCGCGGGAAGAGTGGAAACGGGAGGAAGGCCAGGGAGCAAGTGCGAGAAATGTCGCAGAAGCCCACAGGCTCCCTCCAGAGAGACTGGCGAGAACTGCCCTAGAAACTTGTCGCGGGCATTTTTGGGCTGTGCGTCCCCCACCCGCGCCAATAGCACAGCCCAACCGCGCCCGGGTTCCGGGTGAGGACTCGGCAACCGCTCAGAGCTGCAGGGCTGCCGCTGTAGGACTCCGTCCACTGGGGCTGGAAGTGGTGTTTTGGGCTCCGCTCTTCTGTGCACCCGGATCATGCTTAATGTCTGCACCTTTTTCGTGGACCCTGGCTTTTAGTGACTCCTTAATGTATAGGATGCTGGAGCTGAAGAGTTGCTCAGTAGAGAGCATCTCGGTTCACTTCTACCCAAGTTTTAGAGGTGAGAACATCTGGCCGGAGGTAGCATGACACATGGAGCCAGGAACTTTGGGTTCAAATCCTGACTGTCCGTACCCTCGGGTAAGCCATAGCCGCGCTCTCATGGGACTAAGCTTACCCCTCTGCTAAAGAGGATCATCCTACCTATCTCACCGGTTGGATCAGAAGCTCAAGGGGCAAAATGTGGGAAAACATGGGCCCAGTGCCCACGGAGCACACAGGACAGATGCTACTTGAAACGGAATCTATTTAATTCGACTGTGGTTTCCTTAAGGCAGAGACTATGTTGTTCGTATCACCAACCACAAAAGTTTGTGGCACAAAACCTTCGCATATACAGTCAAATGATTTCTTTCTTTCTTTCTTTCTTTTTTTTTCTTTTTTTGAGACGGGGTCTTGGTCTGTAGCCAGGCTGGAGTGCAGTGGCGCGATCTTGGCTCACTGCAACCTCCACCTCACGGGTTCAGGCGTTTCTTCTGCCTCAGCCTCCCGAGTTGCTGGGACTACAGGCGCACGCCACCACGCCCAGTTAATTTTTGTGTTTTTAGTAAAGACGGGGTTTCACCATGTTGGCCAGGATGGTCTCGATCTCTTGATCTCGTGGTCTGCCCGCCTCTGCCCCCCAAAGTGCTGAACCACCGCACCCAGCTGATTTTTTTTTTTTTTTTTTTTTTTTAAGACAGATCCTTACTTCGTCATCGCCCAGGCTGGAGTTCAGTGGCACAATCAAAGCTCACTGCAGCCTGGACGTCTTGGGCTCAAGAGATCCTTCTGCCTCAGCCTCCTGGGTAGTTGAGACAGCCAGTAGTCACACGCCACCCACCATGCCCAGCTAACTTTTGCACTGTGTGTAAGAGACGGGGTTTTGCCATTTGCCATGTTGCCCAGGTATGTCTCAAACTCCTGGCCTCAAGCAGTCCTCCCGCCTCAGCCTCCCAAAGTGCTGGGATTACAGGCGTGAGCCAGCGTGCCCTGACTAGTCAAATGATTTTTGACAAGGGTGCTGTGGCCATTCAGTAGAGAAAAGTATATTTTCTGTGCATCAAAGGACACAACAGGCTGGGCATGGTGGCTCAAGCCTGTAATCCTAGCACTTTGGGAAGCCGAGGCGGGTGGATCACCTGAGGTCAGTAGTTTGAGACCAGCCTGGCCAACATGGTGAAACCCCATCTCTGCTGAAAGTACAAAATCAGCCAGGCATGGTGCCGGGCGCCTATATTCCCAGCAACTCGGGAGGCCAAGGCAGGAGAATCACTTGAACCCCCAGAGTGGAGGTTGCAGTGAGCTGAGATTGCACCACTTTACTCCAGCCCGGGCAAAAGAGCAAAACTCCGTCTCAAACCCCCACCCCGCAAAAAACAAAACAAAACAAAAAAGAACAGTGAAAAGGCAACCAACAGAATGAGAGGAAATAGCAAATCATATATCTGATAAGGGGTTAATATCTATAATATATAAAGAACTCCTACAACTCAACCACAATAAACAAGCAACTCAATTAAAAGGACAAAGGACTTGAGTAGACGTTTCTCCAAAGAAATATATACTATACTGTAGAAATGACCAACAAGCAAATTAAAAAATGCTTAACAAAACTAACCATTAGGTAAATGAAATCAAAGCTAAAATGAGATACCTTATTTTGGTATCTTATACCCATTAGGTATACCCATTAGGATGTCAGCTATCAAAAAGCACTAAATAACAAGTGTTGGTGAGGATGTGGAGAAATCAGAATACTTGTGCACCGTTGGTGGGAATATAAAATAGTGCAGCTGGCCTGGCACGGTGGCTCCCGCCTGTAATCCCAGCATTTGGGAAGCTGAGGCAGACGGATCACCTGAGGTCAGAAGTTTGAATCCACCCTGGCCAACATGGAGAAACCCCGTCTCTTCTAAAAATACAAAAATTAGCCTGGTGCAGTGACAGGTGCCTGTAATTCCAGCTACTTTGGAGGCTGAGGCAGGAGAATCGCTTGAACCTGGGAGGCAGAGGTTGCAGTGAGCCGAGATCGCACCATTGCACTCCAGCCTGGGGGAGAGAGCAAGACTCTGTCTCAAAAGAAAATAAAATAGTGCAGCTGCTATGGAAAACAGTACGGCAATTTGTATTTAAAAAAAAAAAAAAAAAAGTAAAAAATAGGCCAGTGTGGTGGTTCACACTGGTAATCCTAGCACTTTGGGAGGCCTAGGCGGGCAGATTGCTTGAGCTCTAGAGTTCAAGACCAGCCTGGCCAATATGACAAAATACAAAAGTTAGCCAGGCATGGTGGCACATGCCTGTGGTCCCAGCTACTTCGGAGACTTCGGAGGATTGCTTGAGCTGGGGAGGCGAAGGTTGCAGTGAGCGGACATGGTGCCACTGCACTCCAGCCTGGGAGACAGAGTGAGACTCCATCTCAAAAAAAAAAAAAAAAAAGGCCGGGCGCGGTGGCTCAAGCCTATAATCCCAGCACTTTGGGAGGCCAAGACGGGTGGATCACGAGGTCAGAAGATCGAGACCATCCTGGCTAACACGGTGAAACCCCGTCTCTACTAAAAAAAATACAAAAAACTAGCCGGGCGAGGTGGCAGGAGCCTGTAGTCCCAGCTGCTCGGGAGGCTGAGGCAGGAGAATGGCGTAAACCCAGGAGGCGGAGCTTGCAGTGAGTTGAGATCGGGCCACTGCACTCTAGCCTGGGTGACAGAGTGAGACTCCATCTCAAAAAAAAAAAAAAAAAAAAAAAACAACTAAAACAGAGTTTATTCAGTCAACAATTTTTTAAAAAATGCTATGATCCGGGCACAAAATATCCATGTAGCAAAAACTTTGTCAATGCTTCTACTTAAGGACAAGCCTAATTTGTGGGATAAGGCATGAAAGTGTCCAGCATAGGACCTGTACATCATGGGAGGTCAACAAATGTGAACTGCCACTCATGATTCTTGGGCTTTAGAGTAAGTGGGCATATTTGGGCAATGGTTCTTGTAAATGACCGTAATTGATTTACTCATTCAGCCAAACCAAGCAATTCTGTGGACTAGTAGAGGCAAACTGGTTAGAGCAAGGAACTGCCTTGAGGCCCGAGAACAAACGACTTACATAGAGAAAGTAAAGTGGTGGTGGGGGGGCAGGAGAGGACACAAAATTAATTGTGCATTATAATGCTCCAACAGTATACCAACATTTATTCTTTTGCATTGTTTTTGAGATAGCGTTTCCGCTCTTGTTGCCCAGGCTGAAGTGCAATGGCGCAATCTTGGCTCACTGCAAACCCCGCGTACCGGGTTCAAGTGATTCTCCTGCCTCAGCCTCCTGAGTAGCTGGGATTACAGGTGCCCACCACCACGCCCAGCTAATTTTATTCTGTTTTGTTTTTTGAGACAGGATCTCACTCTCTCACCCAGACTAGAGTGCAGTGGCCCGATCTCAGCTCACCTCAACCTCTGCCTCTCAGGCTCAAGGGATTCTCCCGTCTCAGCCTCCCGAATAGCTGGGATTACAGGTGCATGCCACTATCACCTGGCTAATTCTTGTATTTATTAGTAGAGACAGGGTTTCACCATGTTGGCCAGGCTCATCTCAAACTCCTGACCTCAAATGATCCACCCACCAGCCTCCCAAAGTACTGGGATTACAGGCATGAGCCACTGCGCCCGGTCTAATTTTCTGTATTTTTAGTAGAGATGGGGTTTCATCATGTTGGCCAGGCTTGTCTCAAATTCCTGACCTCGAGTGATCCACCCGCCTCAGACTCCGGAAGTGCTGGGATTACAGGCATGAACCACCATGCCCGGCCAAGTATACCAACATTTATGACTTAATCCACTCAACAAGCCCTCCAAGTGGATGTTATTCTGGAAACCTGGGCCTTAGTTTAAGTTGGGGTCCCCAACCCCTGGGCCATGGGGCCAGTACCAGTCCGAGACCTGTTAGGTACTGAGCCGCACAGCAGGAAGTGAATGGCTGGTGATCGAAGCTTCATCTGTATTTACAGCTGCTCCCATTGCCTACATTACCGCTTCAGCTCTGCTTCCTGTCAGATCAGCAGCGGCATTAGATTATCATAGGAGCATGAATCCTATTGTGAACTGCGCATGCGAAGGATCTAGGTTGCTCCTTATGAGAATCTAATGCCTGATGATCTGTCACTGTCTCCCATCAACATCAGGTGGGACCATCTAGTTGCAGGAAAACAAGCTCAGGGATCTCACTGATTCTACTTTATGATGAGTTGTATAATTATTTGTATTATACGTTATAATGTAATAATAATAGAAATAAAGTACACAATAAATGTAATGTGCTTGAATCATCCCGAAACCATTCCTTCCCCAGTGGAAAAATTGTCTTCCATGAAACTGGTCCCCAGTGCCAGAAAGGTTGGGGACTGCTGGTTTAATTTAACCAAGGTCATACATATATTAGGTGGCAGAAGTTGGGTTATGATTTAAGCCTGACCACAGCATGGCATGTGGGAATGAGAAAGCCCTGTTGAGGCTCATTCATTCAATA